ATGATGTTTATATTTGTGTTTTAAAATGAATGTTGTTGAACAAAATAGAAATATGTGGAGACAAAAGGAAAGAGAAGACATTTTTACTTGGAAGGAAATTAAAGCTGCAAGAAAGATATGAAAAACACTAAACCAAATAACTTCTTTATAGATTGGAAATTTCTGCTTTTTTTTTTTTTTTAACTTACTGTCATTTTCTAAAAAATAGGAATGAATAAAAATCAGAAAAATTGATTCAATGATTCAATGTAAATGTGCATTTTTTTTCCCTTTCAGAAGCAACATTTTGGAGGACAATTCAATTAATTTACATTAAATTACAAATGTTATCCATAATTGCTTGTTTTTCAGAACTTAACATAGTCAAGGTCAACATCCGTTTCTGAAATGCTAGTCAACATCTGTATTGTCATGTGATTTGCATGTAGAATGCAGTTTATAGGTACAATTAGATGCTCTTTTTTCGTGATAGTTTTTTGCTAATTATCTGGCTGGCAAGAGAATGCAGGGGAAAAAAACAACAAGATAGCAGCGATTTTCTTTGTCCAGATGTTTTAAACGATTTTTCAGCATGGAATGGTTTCTTCGTTAAAATCAATACTTTCTATGGAAATATAATGCAACTGACTCAAAGCTGTTATTATTCTGACAAATTTCCAGGGCTTTTTGCCTTGTAGAGTAGATTGAGAAAGTAGAAATCTGGAATAAAGGCTTTTTCTGTCACAGCAAATGAGAGAGAGAATATTTCTTGAAATGTTGGCTGTTGCTGTAAGTATTACTGTGAATCCTTTCGGACCCTAAATATGTGCAAATATTTCACCTCTTTCTAATTCTACGCTATCAAAAAAGGAAATATACAAAATTCCATAAGAAAGGATTTTATTAATGTTAATATATGTATGTGTGTTTTCTTTGACTTCTCAAAGATGTGGAGCTTATGGGATGATCCCCACTCTGTGTTCACATCCCACCTTTTTGAAACTCACTGTCTATATCAGCAAAGTATGGAGAGCTCAATCTGTACATTTCATATGTGCAGCGTGTCAGACAGGGACATGTCAGAGCATATGGCCTGGATTGTTGACTGATGCATCCTAAACACTTCTCTCTGCTTTGACATTTCATTTGGCTTGTAAAGCTACGGCATGCCCTGAATTGTAAGTCTGTATGTTTAGGGCTGTTAAGTCCAACCTCTGTTATTGTGCAATTAGCTTTGAAGGAAGATCAGAAGAGTGACCTTGCATCTTGTCAGAGTATCCACTCAAGAATCAGCTTTGCTTGGAGGCTGTTCCTTAAAGTCAATCATTATTCTCTTATCTGTAGAGAGGCAAACTGTATTTGTTCTGGTGCTCTCTGAGCTATTTTCAAATTGTTAATGCTCTTCCTAAATCCCAAAGCCTTAAAATTACATGTTTTTATAGTTAGTTATGGACTCCTCCTTGTAGCATATTCTTTTCTTGAGAAAAACATTAGAGGATTCCAGAATTTGGCGTGAAAGTGACATTATAATGTTGTAGCAGCTGAGATCCAGGTGAATGTGTCTGGGGACTGGAGCAACAGTTATGGAATTGTAGATAAAGCATCTGGCAGTTAGAAGAAGTAATTGTCACTTTCCATGATGTATCCTCCAGAGATCTTGGCTAACCTCCTGAATGCATTGCTCTGAAAAGGTTTACGCTTGCTGTAGTTCTGAGATGCTTGCTATCCTATATGTATCTAATGATAACATCCAGTAATTGTTAGAATCCAGAGATTGCTGCTGTGATTCTAGTCATGGACAACTGGTGGATGACAGACTGATATGCTCAGATCTGGGGTGAGCTACCCTTTTAGACGTTATTTACATTAAAATTTCTTCCTTTATATCCGGCCTCTATTTCCAAGTGATGCTTAGTAGTCCTTATGACAATGACTGAATATTTACAGCTAGAGAAAGCTTGCACATATATGATAGATAATGCAATTTTAATATTTGTGATGCCAATTTAAAATGTAAATATGGTTCATTTACAGACTTAGGCATAGCATCATTGATGTTGTTACACAAAGGAAAAGAGCAATTTTTTGCCAATTTAGCCTGTCAGCTTCACACATAGTATCTTCCTGGAGCATAGTTTCATTAGAAAATACACTTGGCATTTTTTAATAGATAAAATCAAGGCTCTTAGTCTCATTTCCTCTTAAAGCTCTAAGAAAGGTATTTATGACACTTCATTTGGTTTCAGATAACCAAGCACAGAAAGCTCTGGGGAAGAAGGTTTCTTGGAGGATGACCAAGAGAACAATGGGGGGTCTCTCCTTGAGGAGTCTGTCCTGCTCTTGAGTCCCATATAGACACTTTGGCAGTGTAACACAGAGCTGATGTCACTTCTATCTTAATGTAGATCTGTCACAAGGACCTTGAACCTCCTTTTGAGAGTTTCTAAACCCCTTTGCTAGATTTTATAGAATGCTGAAGTTTGAGGGAGTTTGGTGTGCTGATCTATTTACTGGTTGACGTCTTCATTCAGATCATAAGTGATAGTGAATTTAGGAGGTTTATTTTTATTTACAGGTTGCTTTGAATTATATTGGTTATGCTGATTTTGAAATAGACCTGGTTTTAATCTAGACATGAGTAGTGTTAAATAAAATACTTTCAGAACTAAGTGTAATAAATGTACGTTTTCTCCTCTTACTAATTATAATAAATATAATAAAATATTATAATATATATAAATATATATAAATAAAAATATATATTTATATAAAATATATAAAATATTATAAATAAATTATAATAAAATAAAATAGTACTAAGTTTGTTTAATTTGATTTTTCCGAGATAGATGTGCTAGACAAAATCTCTTAGAGCTGCTATTCTTTATCTCCTCGTGGGCTGAATTTCTCATCAACCCTTGCATTATTTTGCATGAAATCATTTTTGCATAACCTGGCCTGTGGTTTGTGTTCTGCTGTTTGGAAGCTTAAGTTCTAAACTAGTGAATCAAATATTTTAATCCAGTTTGTGGGCCAGTAACTAAATCTGTATTAATAGTTTTCCACTTCTGCCACCCCCTCTTATTTGCTAATCCATCAGAGTATTATTTTTGTACACATTTAGAAAACTAATATATCATCCTGATTCCTTCAGAATATCAATTGGATTTATGTTTAATATTATTTACAATCCATCATGAAGATTGGTTTTGCAATGTATTTGTCAGCATAAAAATCCATACTGAAAAATCTGCTGCATTAAAAGTGTTCTTTCCTAACATTTTGAGCATTTTGAGCCATGTGCTCTATGTTCTTTCAGCAATCCTCACCAATGATTTCTGCTTTCTAACTGCTCATTTAGAGCTGCAGACTTGAGCTTATTCATCTTTCACAGTGGTGTAATACTTGTTTTATTTATACTTTTTTATCAACAGACTAATTTTCTTTAAAAGCTACTTACCTGTATATAAAAGTAGAACTGAGTTAATTTTCAAACAGTTTGCCTCTGTTGTTCATGTAAAATTCCCCCCTACTTTTGCACAATAATTATTTTCATTTTTTGGAAATTTTCTACTTTAAAACATCCAGCATATATTTAAATGACCCAATCAAACTTATTTGCATTTAGAAAGAGATTTATGGCTGCTTCAGGAATTTCCTATCATAATGCTTTTTAGCTCACATCTGAGTACTAGTAAGATAATTTCATTTTACCTCAATGTGTGGATGGATAAAGGAATAGTCCCTGCTTCAGAATGGATCAGAGGCTGCCTATTCTTCCCCTTTAGTAGAAGTCTATTGATGTGATGGAAGTTTCCTATCTGTCCCTCAGCCTAGCATGCACAGGGATGCTGAAGGTAGCCAGCAGTGTTGATCTCCCACAGAGCAAACAAGCAGAGAACCTCCTACAATAAAGGGAGGAGGACTCTGATTACAAAATATCCATGCTATTCTATAGAAACATTGCAGAAAAAGATAAATAATATTTCAGCTGTAATCAGACTCTGTATGGGAAACATCTCACATAATTCTGGATGGTCCTACATTTGCTGTCACAACTGTAAAGTCTTATCTGTTTCTATTCTTTGCTTTCTGTAACCATAAAGTATCATTCATGCATCTCTTCCTCAGCGAATTAAGTATTTACTCTGTGAGTTTGAGAGCACTGCGATGTCTGAGATCTTGCTAGCTTGCAGGATATTTTCAATAATTTAATTCATGTTTCTTCCATGGGAGATTCATTGAAAGTGTGCCGTGGGTTTGTTCCATGGGGTTTATTTTGATATATGTATTTTTAATTGTTATTCCCCATTGAAAACCTGTACTATATTCTTAATTACGTATGTGACGATAATGTGCAGAAAAAAAATTTACTGTATCTAATTTCATTCTTCTTCAAACATTATAGGCTCAAAATTTTAATTGCATTTTGTGCAAGTGTGCAAGCACACTTATAGTTGTCCTCAGGTGAGGATATGAAGGTGGGGTGGGAGGAAGGAGGGGAGTCCTAGACCACTCATTTGACTTGTAAAACTAATTTGGGACATAATTTTATGTGTTGTGAAAGGCCAGGTCCTGTATTCCTTTATGTTGCTTATTACAGAAATAAGAAGTTGTAAATTCTACATTGCTATACCTGTTCAGTAGATAAATATTTTACTGAGCACAGCAACTGAGGTGTTAAATAAAGTCTGCTGGACATTACTGTATACTTTCAATGGCTTTTGCAACCAGAATTGCTACCTTCTTAAAGGACAATATATATCACAAGATTGCATCCTCTGGAAGGAAATATTTTCAAGTATTTAGTGTTTTAAAAGCAGCTTACATCAGGTTATAGTTCTACCAGACTGCTGACCTGGAAGATAAATTGCAGTTGCATGCAACAGTGATGATATACTTCATTCTAAGGGATTACACACAAGTTTAATCCCTCTCTAATCTCTGTCTACTGAGTAGAAACATAGACCACCATAGACATAGTAGAAGTTGACATGTTCTTGTTTTTTGCTTCATTTTAGATAATTGTGACGGTGCGTTGGTATCTACCTTACCTTCATCAGCCTTTACCAGTTCTTCTGATTTCTTCAGTACTCACAGTCCCAGCTTTGCAAAGCTCAACAGGCGAGATGGTAAGGTTGCAGTGGGAAATGCCTAAAATATTCATTCTAATCATAGTGATGAAGAATAATTGTTTGTATGCAGTGTATTCAAAGCCAAGTTTGAGTAGAGCTGTTAACTTCAGCTTTTGTGAGATCTTTATTTAGGAGCAATTCATTCCCTTTATTGTAGAAAATTTATACTGAATTTGAAGTTCTCTCATTGTAGTGAAATTGTGTAGGAAGCTTGGGTTGTTATTTTGCTTTTGAATAATTTTGCTATGATTTTTAGAGCTTGAAGCTCACTAGACTTGAGAACTTGTTCTCAAGTGTAGGTGTTTATTAAGGGCAGTAGCAACTAGATATGCAAGTTCTAGTGGAATTTAGTGATTACACAGCTCAGCAGAAATATTAAAAATGAATGGAAAAACTTTGCAGGCATTTGCAACAAGGAGTGCTTGAGACCCTGATAATGAGTTCATATATGAGGTAAAACTATTGGGACCTAATTGAATATTAGAAAAAAAAAAAAAAAAAGTTGGCAATATCTAGGACATGATTTGACATTTTGTTGCAGACTTCAGTTATTGGCTCTCATTCCCAAATTAGAGCCTCAAAAAGAGGAAAGTCCTGTATGTCATAGTGTCATTATGTATGATTTTAATTATTAAAAACACTAATTAGTATGATACTAATAGAGAGACTTTAATTGAAAATAAATGAGAATTTTCCTACTTAAATATAATCTATGCAGTGTGTCTTTTAATTGAACATTACGGTTTAGTAAATCTGTAGGAGGATACTAAAGGAAACTCACTTAAATAGTTGACAGTAGGGTTTGGGAGTTGGTACGTCATTAAAGAAGTCTTAAATGGAAGTTACTGTCTTAAATTTAAACTCTTGAACCAGAGATCCTCAGCAAGTAGAAAGTGATATGGTAGCTGCCTGACGTACAGGAGTTTGAAGACATTGACCACAGAATTTGAGTTTGCTTTGCCTTTATCTCGAGCAATAGCTGAGATAGTGAGTAAGCATGCTTACATAACTTGACTTAAATCACTAATTTTGTCTTCTGATAAGAGGAAAGATTCAAAATGAATCTTATTGCAATTTCAGCTCTGGGTGTACTGAATCTTAAAATTAACAGTGCCTAAAATAAACTTACATGGATTGCAAACTTAGTGTAGGAAAAAATAAAGTCTTATTTAGGTGTGCTAAGGTAGTTTTGCCACGTAGTGGGTTGTCATGTATTCTAGTTCTTTAGATGTACATTACTACATCAGTATGATTCATGTGGTTTATGGATGCAAGTTGTGAAAACATAAAGAGAATACTAAAACTGAGCTCTAAGCAGGGAAGCTGTTTCAGATGTATAAGCAAATTCTGTTTCATGTTTTGAATTTTTATTTGATAACTGAGGAGCTAAACCCAACAGAAGGACCTAGAGTTTGAATTCTACATTGCTTAATTCTTTTATTGCATGGGCTGTTTTAGAAACACACGAGTGTAATTCCAGTTGACTTCACATGGTTTGGGAGAAGAAGTGGTGATAGGTGGTGGCTGAAGGAAATAGCTTAGGCTGATAGTTGATTAAATAAAATAGACACCTTTGCAAGAAATATAATTTCAAGGAATAATATAATTCTTGTATTTTTAGTTATGTTGGAGTGTTTTGATGCATTTTATTTTCATTTGTAATTGATAAAACATAGCTGTAAGTAATGGTACTTCAAGATAGAAAGCAAAATAATTATATTTATTAATATAAATTTATTAATGTAAATACAAATGTAACAAGTAAAGATGAATTTATAAAATACAACAGAATGTTTAAATTCATAGTGATGATTCAGTAGAAGATAATAACTAAAAAGCTGTATATAAAAAAAAAAAAGCCTGCAGCAGTGGAATATGCCATTAAAAAATAATAATCACAAAAACAAAACTTACAAAACAAACAAAAAAAAAACCATAAAGCTTAACATGCAGTCCTGAAAGTGCTCAATTAAAATGCTGGTAAATCTGTACTTGTAGTAGTACAAGCAGTTAATAAAATTCTGATGAACGTTATTCTGAGATGTGAAATATATTACTTATCCGTGAGAGGGATTAATCAGTTGCTTTGTTTTGAGTAAATAAATAATTAAAAAAAAAAAAAAAAAGAAAATTGCTACAATGAACTGAGCTTTTCCAAATCTCTCAGCTCTCAGTTTGAGTAGTCAGAATAGGTAATTATGTATAGGAATATAAAACATACATAATGTCAAAAGGAATTTGTCTTGTGGCCGAGAAATATTTGATCTGGGCATTAAAGTAAAACTGTGCAGCGGGAATGCACTTAGCTTCAGCAGGAAGTTCAAGAGTTTGTAGCACAATATAAAGCTATTTGAGCTGTTTGTAAGACACTGTGGGATGGAAAAGAATGTTTCCTTTTGATTAGTGTTAATAAGTTATAAATAAGCATGGGCATCTTGAGTAGTTCTGTGGAACTTCAAGGAGAATTGATTGCATAGCTGTGGGTTTAAGTGCTGATTTTGGAACAATTATAGCAAAATATACAAATGGTTTGAAAAAAGTATTTGATAATATTTCTTGTAGTCATTTGGATTTCCAGCTGAGAATCCATGTGATCTTCTTCCTCATTTTTCTAGTAGTATTGTTTGTTGCCATGGAGCAGTATGAGCATGGAACAATATATGTTCCTATGGTGTGATATTTCTACGATGACATTTCTTTCTACCACATTGAACCATTTTCTTGCTGTTTTACTATGTGTGGAATCCCTTGAATGCCAGTGAAAATCTGGTAGACAGAATGGGGAAATGGCCTACTTCTCATACATCAAATTGTGAAGTGCCAAATGAATCGACTTTGATCACGCTCTCCCACTTTCTTGAGAGAGGTAATGTGGCATCATCATACATTATTATTTTCCAGGTTACCTAAAAAAACAAAAATCATGATTTAGTAACTGTAGTCTGTGCCACATTTTGTCCATTTTATGTTTATGCCACACTGTTAATAAAAGATATATGATCCTGTTCAATTTCCTTATCATAGAATCATAGAATGGCCTGGGTTGAAAAGGACCACAATGATCACCTAGTTTCAAACACCCCGCTATGTGCAGGGTCACCAACCACCAGACCAGGCTGTCCGGAGCCACATCCAGCCTGGCTTTGAATGCCTCCAGGATGGGGCATCCACAGCCTACTTAGGCAAGCTTTTCCAATGTGTCACCACGCTCTGTGAGGGTTATGCTAGTATCTATTCAGAGGACACTGTCTTCAGTAACATTGTTTTTGTCAGTCTTCCTTGCAGAGAAATTTTACCTGCCGTTCTCACAAGTCAATGTAATTGCTGCAGAAATTATAATGGTGAAAAATTTGGAAAGGGGAACAGTGTAGGTTTTTGGGGTGCTGCTTTTTGCCTCCCTCCCAGGGGAAAGCGTGAGATGAAAGGGTGTTGTCTGTAACCCTTAACATCTCTTACAAGTCTGACTTCTTGACTGCAAGATCAACCAAACCTACAGAGGTAATGCTAAGAGATGTCATTGCTGCATTATTCAGTGCTCACATTTAAAGAATGACACTTTGTACAGATGAATGTGTTCATGTGAAGTGAAATGCTGTTCAGAGATGCCTTATACTCTGTGATTCGAGAGCTTGAGCCCAGTGCAAACCTCCCACATTTCCATTCAGTGTCTATCATTCTTCTGACTTCCTTCCAAAGGATAAACCTATGGTGCTGTGCTCAGAATGGAAAACAATGGTGCATAATAAAGCAGAATAATTCTGTGCAAAGCACATCACCTTAATGTCTAAACTAGCAGTAGGAACAGGAGAGTACAAACAACATGGAGTGGGTGCTATTTATGATACTTAACAAACTACTGGAAACTCATCTCAAATAATTTATGGGTGACTCTTCATCACTTAGTAGTTGCTGATGTGTTGGAGAATGACTGACTGAAGATACAACAAAGGAAAGAGGAAAATGCCCACATCTCTCTTTAATACTCACTGAATACATCTAGAATAAGCTCTTTAGAGTGGTGAAAGGAACAACTTTGTACCATTACCTCTCAGAACTTTTGAGGTGAATTTCTATGGCCTTCTGTGTTGATTCAGTCTGTGCCAAGAATGAGAAGTTTTGGTTTAAAAGGTTTTCTTTGGCTCCAAGTGCATTAGTCACAGTTTCTTACAAGCTGAATTTGCAGCTGGTTGATTTTGAACAGTAATATGTAGTTTGTGACTTAAAAAAAAAAAACCAAAAAAAACCCCAAAAGCCTCAGTATAGCATTAAAATAATAGTAATAAAGTGCATTGTTAGGAGTTTTGGCTTGCAGGCTTCTGGGCTTCTTCAAGCTGTGTGTCTGCGCAGGTTTAAAACAGTCAGATAATAAGTGAATGAAATTCTTAATATTCTGGTTAGATCTTCATGATATGCTAATAGGCAAGAACAGTATTCTATTTTAGGCAAGTAAAATAATATTTTTGGCAATATTAAGATTTATGTTGTCATTGAAAAAAAAAAAAAATCATGGTGTTAGCAAGCAGTACACATTGGTTTGGTTGCAAACTGTTTTCCCTGGAGCATTCTGGTAGAGCAGTGCAGACTGAGTCACTGAGTATATACCAAGGTGGGTATTCTACTCAGTTCTAGCTGGAATAAGCACACTTCTTTTTCAGGAACTGGGACTAAATCCTATTTTAAAGAAATGAATAATGAAACTTTTGATATGTATTTTTAGAAAGAAAAGAAAAATCACTTTTGGGTTGTCAAATCCAATATAGTCCAGGGAAATCAAGAATGTTTTTAAAAGGCAAAGTCATTGAAATACAGTTCTTTGATATCAGCCACACTTATTGATCTTTCAGCTCGGTTCACTTTAATACACTACTAAAAGGATCAGCTTTGAGACAGAGTAGTTAATAAAATATAAAGGTAAACCCAGCTGTTTATAACCAATATTTATTGATACTTTTTTTCTTTGGAAGTGTATATTTGGAATATTCTTGTAGTTTATGTGTAGATTTGTTAATGCTTCATTCTCAACATAGTATTTCCCCTTTCTAGTGGAGTTTTGTTCAATGCAATTGCATGAAACTACTCTTGTAAACATTGATAATAATGGCGAAGCAAGATGATGAGTTGCTGAAGCAATGGCAGCCTGAAAATTTACTACTTTGGGTACTTTAGAACAAATGGCTTCTCTGTTTTTCATAGCTGTATTGTCCACTTATTTGTAAGGCTGGAATGAATGCTGAATGTATATAGAGAACAAATAGAGTGTGCAATATAGAGTGTGCGAGTAGAAAATAGGTAACAGAAATCTAACTATAATTAAAAAGTATAGGAATAAGCTAGAGAACATGAGATAATCTATTGCAATCTGGGAAAACTTGCCTTTTTAACCATAAGCAAACATTTATTGTAGTGAGTGGAGTGTTATAATTCAGGCAGTGATTGCAGTTCTATGTTTCATTGCTCTGACATGATCACGTGCCTGTTTAACTACTAGAAGAATTTGAGTATTCAAGTATTTTAAGGGATTTGTCACAAGTGAGTTACAAACTGTGAACTTACATGTGGGCATGACTTCAAAAATCTCCATTCAAGAATGGAGAGTGGAAGTTGATAACTTGCAAATCATGTTTGTCTTTGTAGTTTATTTTAAAAGAGAAAACAAAATCTTCATGTGCAACTTGTTTGAAGAAGAGACCACTACTATGTGAAGGCACTCCTTTTAGTTATTTGTCCAGATGTTCTCTGGCTTTACAATGTATTATTTAAGTACGTTTACAGCCTCTAAGTGAACTGTTTGGTTGTTTTTTTTTCAACACTTAGGACACACATCAAGCTAACTAACATTTTCCCTCATCCTTCAAAATACAGCAAAAAAGAAAATATCAAGTTAGAAATTAGACATCATTCCCAGAGCTGTAGAAGCAGTTGAGGGAAAAGATAAGATTTGTGTGTGTGTGTGTGCCATACTTACTGACCTTTCTCCCGCTGACAATGAATAGATTTCCTAAAAATTCTTCAATTCAGAATTCCATATAAATTTTGGTTTAATTATGAAAAACAGGTAGGATATTTTCTAATATAAAATAATGAGTGAACAATTTTGCTTTTAGGAATTGGACTCCTTTCTAACAACCTGAATTAATAACATGCTTTTTTCTTGTGTTTAATTTCTTGAGTTCCTATAAGTTACCTACATTGCCTTTATCCCATCTCTCCTAGGAGCTGGAGGCTGGTCCCCTCTGGACTCCAACGAGCAGCAGTGGCTCCAGGTTGATCTTGGAGACAGAGTGGAGATTGTTGGGGTCGCTACCCAGGGCAGGTATGGGAGCTCTGACTGGGTAACCAGCTACACGCTGATGTTCAGTGACACCGGCCGCAACTGGAAGCAGTACAGAAAAGACGACACTGTTTGGGTAGGTGCGAACTCCAGATGCCTTTCAGATTTTCTGGTTTAGGCTCAATAAGGGATTTGAAGAAATGGCTTCAGTTTCTGATCGGAGAACTGGGGTAGCAGGAAGGAAAGCAGACCTGAATGGACTTAAGGGCTGTTTTGATCTAACCTGATTGTGTCTTCGTTGCCAACTGTGTAATACATGTTTAGGCCCTCAGGACTACATTGTTTTTCAAATTATGAGGATACTCAGGACGCTTGAAATGAACTGCATGCTTCTGTGCCTGGCTGGCTTTGATTCAGGCACACCAGACTAAACGGGGGCTAATCACATAGGTACTTTCTCTGAGAAGTATGGAAATTAACTCAATTTTATGCACACTTGCTGGTCAGAACAACGGAGCGCATGCTGGGGGAGGCGGGTGGTAAATTGCTCCTCAGCTTGAGAAAGCTGGAACTACAGCGTGACTTGTAGGATGATTTAGCAGATGCACTGAGAGTGCTCAAGGCTTTTCCTAAAATTTTTATGCAGGAGTCATACTTGCTGTGTTGTAGGTTTAACGTGTGGCCATAACAGGTGCAGTTGGCAAGTCTATGTGCCATAGCAGTGCAACCACAGATGTGAATGGAAAAGTTTAAAATATAATGTGGAAAATATGAATTGTTAGTGAGCTTTTAATGAGTTGTACTGTCTTCTCCGTACTGTATTCACTGTTGTGAGGATCAGTAGCTTTGGAAACATGGCAGGATTTGGTGGTAAATGAAGTATATACTTCATGAAAATAAAAGGGAACATTATAAGGATGATCAAGTAAACTTCTGGTTTTGTCTGTATTTTTTTTTTTTTTGCTAACAATTTGATTAAACATTATGTTACAGAAGAAGACTTCATTTCCAGAACATACTGATGTTGAGTTAGGACAGTTGAGGATCAGCAGGAGGAGAGGAGAAGGGCTCCTTAATTCTTTTCTTGAGCATGTTACAGACGTTTGAAGTGCGTTGACTTCTGTGGTTTCAATATCCACTGCATTGTCACTGTCTTTGTTTTATCATAGTTTGATTTAGGGAAAGCTACTGAAAGCTGCCTTTCTTTAGGAGGATATGTTGGTCCAAAGATGATCATAAAATTGTCAAGTGTGGCTCTGCTTCATGTGTCACTTAAGTTATGCTAGTTTCATTCCCGATAGGTATACTTTTAAAAAATGTTTTAAAACAATGAAATTTCATTCTTAACTGAATATAGCTGAGAACTTAACCTGATGCTGGACTTTCACATTTAGGTCTCTGAAATCCAGAACAGAGAGATGTTTACAAACTCAGTATCATTAAATGATGCTTCCTTCTCTTATATTAGAGACTTGTTTAAATTATATATTAAAATTAGATTTAAATATTTGATTACATATCCAGCTCTTCAGTCTGTCTTCTTTTTGGAGACTCCTTGACCTTTTATTTTATTTTTTAACTTTCTTTCTAAGTGGAAATTTGAAAAGGCAATACATAAAACTTATCTTAGCTAATCTTCATGCCCTATGGATTCCGTTTTGTGAGCTTCTCATACCAATACTGCATGCAAGAATAAGAATAAGCCCAGCAGGAATTTAGCAGTGAATCAGAATTTATGAAGAACCTAAGCTCTCCTTTATTTATTAAATGATCAGCCATGAAGGTGATTCAGGAGAATCTATAATGAATTCTACAGCTTCAGTAGATTTTCTTTGAGAGATAATTTTTATATATTTTTTGTAATGGAAACCACGAAGGAAGATATTTATTTTTGTATGTAGTTGAGGAAAATTGAAACAGAACTTTGTTGTGGAAGAACTTGGTGGTAACATCAGGGGAACATTGGATATTCTTCCCCTACACATTAGATTCTAAAAGTCACACTGACTATGCATGAAAGTAGTATAATTCGAATCCAGAAGAGCCATTTTTCCATGTCCCCAAGCAGAGGGCTTGATGTGGTTTTTGGATGCGTCACCAGACTTAGTTGGAAAAATCTGACAGTGAAAGTCCGAAATGGACTGACTTTATGGTTTGTTAGAACCTGCAGTTTGGATAAACTGGCAAGTAATACATTACACAAGCAAGTAAGAGTTTGTATGCCTGCCCATGGAATTAATGAAAATCAGGTTACTCCTGTACAATCTGTATTCCAACTAAAGAAAAAATTGTTTACCTTTTTTTTTTATTTTCTTGAAACTTTCAGAGATCTGTGCTGTTCTAGACTACACATGGGCAGTTCTGTGACTCATGGCTCAGAAAAGGGCTCTGAAATCTAAACCATTATTGCTTGAGGTTTCTGACATGGAATTTGCTGATGTATCAATATGGGATATTGTTATGTTTTGCTGGAAGTTTGCTTTTGATGTATGACTGTTACTGAATGCCTCTCACCAAGCACTCCTTGTTGATAATTACTCATTTATTGCTGTTGGAAGTGGGGATTATGTATCAGTGTGAGGGACTTATGTGGTCTGGTAATTTTTTTTTTTTGAAGGTAGTGGAGCTTTGTTAGGAATCAGTCTGATAGAATAATTATTAATTGAAGTGGAAAAAGTGTAGAAATTACGTTTGATAGTTACCATTTGTTTCTAAGTAGAAATGTGAGGCTTCTCTTCATTTTTATTCATTTCCATATCAGTAAAGGAAAGCAGGGTCTTGAAATGCTTTCTCCACTCTGTCTGTTAGAGTAAAAATGATATCAATTCTTATCATATTCTCAACCCTGATCAGATTCAAACTCCAGTTTTTCCCAATCTATCTGCATGACCCAAAGACAAAGTTATGGGGTATTACCAGCTGCTTTTAATGTAGTGCTCTCAAAGAAGGGTTTACTGGCACAGCCTTTCCCCCTGCATATTATGCGCCATCAGCTACATTTCATGCAAAATCCCTGAGTAAATTTGATACTGGATGAAACTTTTCATGATGATTTCTTCACTAATGTGTGATATTCCCTATTGCAAGTCATGCTCCTGAGTTGTTTTCAGCCATTGGGGTATAGGTTTTGTCTGCCCAAGTAATGTATGTGACCTTCAGTGCATCTGAGACCTGGGTACAGAAGTTCTTTATTGGGCTGCAGTTAAGACAGATGTTTGCACACCAGTTTATATGACCATATCACTAGTTAAAATCCCTTTCTTTTCATAGACAGTACAAGGCTTGCAGGGCATATTATCCTCCTCTCAAAGCACTCATACAGCTCCCATCAACTTCACCATTAATGAGAGCACTGCATAGACAGATCGCGAGGAGAATCGGAAAACCTCTTACATTTTCACTCAGCTTGTGTTTATGATGTTAGTAAATTCTGCAGCTGGAGTTGAAGACGAGACAGATTAGCTATTTAAAACCTATTTTCTAACCCCATTTGTATTTAAATAATCTTGTTACAAAAGGACTCTGTGGTTCAGAGCAAACTAGGCTTATAATTATATTTTCAATATGGATAAATCAGCTGTGTGTGGACACACTAGCTATTGATTGGGAGACATAAAATATAAATCTTATGACTTGTAACAAGAAAATGATTTTCCGATGTTTTTAAGTGTTGAATAATTCAGAATTTTACCTGCGTATGTGCTGCAACTTGAGTTGGTCCAAATTGTATATATTACTGGGACAAAATACAATGCTATTTATTTTTAGATAGCAATTTTTATGCCATCTGTGTTGAGAAATTCTTTACAAAGCTGAAAAACACAATTATACAAAAAGATACAAAGAAATGGAGGGAAGGATGCATGGAAGTACATAGTAAAAGGAGCCAAAGGATGTTCTTCAGTAATGGTTTTCAAAGAAATAATGGAATTAGAAATGAAGAAAGACTGTTCTGAATGTCAGAGCAGGTTCTTATATTGGAACCATGAAGCTATGTGGAAAATAGCATAGATAGCAAGGAGATACTCCACACTCAGATAATTGCACAAATGAAGTACAAGTTTGAGTTCCCTGTTAGCCGATGAAGTTCTTCCACTGTGAACAGCAAGTGGAAGGGACAAGATGGCTTTGGGTTGAAGCAGGGAGCAGTGAGATCACAAGACAGGAAGAGCATCTGTGGTGCTGAACAATGATACCTTTGTCACAAGAGGTATAGAGCACAGGTTACATCAAGAATTGCTATAGCATCAGCCCCACATCTTGCAAGTGCTTATGAGAGGACTGACAGGAGGCTAAGAATTCTTTAGGAATATATAACTCTCAGGAGAGTAGGAAGAGTCTTTTAATAGAGGTGATAAAGATTCTTTGCGTCCTCTTTCCTCAGGAAAACCCTTGCTTGCATGTGTGAGATTTTGCTGAACCAGAGGCTTTTCTAATGAAACCTAGAGGAGGGTCATTTTTAATTGGCTTATAAATCTACTGAAGTGCTGTAAACTTTTCCATTTCCTCTCTAGCTGGGTAATGATTGTAGAACTGTTTGGTGAGTTAATTATTGTTAACACAGAATATTAATCCTCTTGTCAGATTTATAGTTGCACTGATTTATTCTAAAGTATCTTTTAGCTCCAAGTCCTGTTGCCCTCCGAGAAAGATAAGAGCAAAATTCTACCTGTAGTAAAGACAGGTCCTACATAGCTTACTCAGATGAGAGAACAAGTTTGCCTTGTTATAGTGTTTCATGCTGTACTAGTATTCTGATATTTAATCTCCTTTATGCATAGTAATTATTGCCAGGCAAGCAGGTGTTAAAACAATATCTGTGGATTATTTTCTTTTCCATTACAATTTTCTCTCAGAAGTGGAAAAGGTGAAGTCTAAAGAATTTAATGCAGATGTTAGCACAACGCTCATCACAGGTGTTTTTAGTAATTCTCTGTGCTCGATATGTGGCATCCTAACCCAGAAAATGGCAAGAAATATGGCTATGTGCAGGCATTGCCTTAATCACTGACTTCCTAGACCTGTTCCTTTGCATGTTCCCAAAAAATTACCTATTCTGTAACTGTTTAAATCAGGAAGGCTATGGAAACATCACCTGTGTTGCAATTTCTACATTTAGTGAAGCGTTGTTAGAGT